GAAATAATTGGCCCTGTCCATGAATATTAATCAAACTAATGTTGGAACACAAGGAAACACAGGCTTGTTATAATGAGCAGCTTTCACATGTAATGATAGCATGATAATACTTTTAACTAAATACTTTGTTCCCTCATTCTTTTGCTTCTCTACATTGTCTAGATGATAGGAACACCTTCGTTTTATTTGTAGATCTAACTTCTCCATGCTTAGGTTTCCCCAATCTTCCACCTGTAGTTTGTGTTTCTGCTGCACGCTTTTAACACTCTGAGTTGCAGGGCAACAACAGAAATCAGATTCAGTTCAAGCACAACAGACTCGGCTTTTGTTTATACTGTGGCTGCGGATTTCTTGGAAGAAAAGCTCAACGATTCCATTGCGTCTCGGATTGCTCACTTTAACCGTGCAGGTTTTCTTGCATTTCCCAGGGATGGCATCGGAACCGTCGCAAGCGAAGGAGGCCTCTTGGAGGTGTTCACTTCAGGCTGCCCGACGCCCGGGCCTGCGGCTGGGGGGTGTGCCTGAGGCGGTGGGGAGTCCCCAGGGCTAACCCCCTGTTTCAGTGTTGTTTTGATCTGAATGGTTCTGCAAGCTGGTAAGCAGAAGCTGAAGTAGAACAGGAGATGAGGGAGTTTGGCAGGAGAGATAAGGGGTAATGCACTGCCCACGACCCCTCTCTGGGGACTGAAGGAGACAGTGAGGGGAAAAGCTGTAGGCTGGGAAGACTGTCAAGGCAGAACTCAGGAAGTGATGTAGCCCATATGGAATACAACTAAGGGGGCGGTTCTGAGCCACGGGGAGATATACTGATATGGCTGCTGATGTATTTTGAAAGCCTGACTAGATAGTAATTGTCAGTTGTCGTAAACTCTCAATATGGTAGCAAACCTGCACTTAAACATGGTACTGTCGGGTAATTCTGACAAACCCCTGGAAAAAAACTGAACACTGACTTGTTTAAAGATGCAGTTGGCAGGGAATTTGATTTGGTACAGTGCAGTGTAATGGAACACGGCTTTATCACACTGTGCTAACATCAATGGTGGGGACGTTGTCAGTGAAAGAACTGATGTAATATACGACTGTCAGCAGCAGTACTTCTCTGCTGTATTATAAAGTTTAGTTACGAGCAGCTGTTCTGCTTATCAATGAGTTCTGCGTTTCATTTTTTGTTTTGTTTTTATCTGTGAGGAAGAGAAATTCCCTGAGCAGTATTATCTGTTCTGCGTAGCTGTTTTCAGTCCTGTAGTGCCTGTCGGTCAAATAGACAAAGAAGCACGAAAGGTCAAGAGTCCAGGACTCAGCCATGAGGAGGCTGGCATAAGGAGTTTTCTTTGGAAAAAGCTTGTTAGGTTTTCTGAAAGTATTACAAAGCTTACATGTTTACTGACAGTGATCTGTATTCCTATCAATGAAGTAACAGGGGAAAAGACACATATAAAGTGCTAATAATTATAACATCAGATCTATATGTTTAAGGTGTTAAGCTAGCTTCATCAGAGTAAATGCATTGTAACTAGGGTTGCCACATTTTCTCAAGAAAATGAAGTGTGCCTCTCACATTGCAAGTAACAGTCACAAGGGGCATAGTGGAATTTACTTCATGAGTCCATGGAGATACACTATGCTGATCGTCCTGATTCCATTCAAATATTACACATCTTTTGGCAGCAGTCAAAGCTAAACAGGAAAACTATCAACTCAAGAGGTAGATTCCGTTTTTTTAAGACTCTCCAAGGATAGCCGACAACATGGACTTAAATGTAGATCTCTGTCAAAGAATCTTGAAAATCATTTTAAGAGCTATGTTGATGTTTCGGACATGTCCAGATAGTATGCAAAAATGAACCATCCTGAGCACAAAGGAAAAGGATCATTTTTAATCAGTCACATAGGTGTTGAATAGATCTTATAGATACATTTGTACTGGCCTTTTATCTTGTATTAATGCAGGAGCCCTGAGAATGCTCTCACAATTATCCTGTTGTAGCTCATTTGTAAGAGGAATTCCCAGATCTCTCTCTCCCATCCCCGTTGTTTTTCAGTTAGTACTCAAAAATGAGCTCAGCAATAAAATCTGATCTGTTTGAGAGATAAGTATGACCGAGTGGCCTTGAGTTATATGGAGTCAAGTAATGAATAGTGAAGCTTTAACAGAGGCTCTTCCTGCATTGATTGAGCATTTGTTTGTCCAGATCTGTAATTAAAGTTTGTTGGAGGTATTTGAAAGCTATTCCTTAATTAATCATAATACGCATCTCCTATTTTCTGAATACCTTGTTTACTCATAATTTAAAAACAGACCCATAGGGTTTTAGATGGGATAAACTTACAAGAGATTGGTGTTAGAGAAAGGCATCACTGCTTCGTATTATACAAGACATGTATTCAAATGTTGTTGTTCTCATTATGCAACAGTGTTATCAATAGCATATTTTGAAATTGTTATCCTACAATGTAGTACAGGGAAATGTCAACAAAAGATTTTTGATTTAATGCTGCAATTATTTGACGCTTTTCTGATCTTCAAGTTTCACCATCATGGCAAACGTTTTCCTTGTGATATCATGGTAATACTGGATAGAAATGCACCAAATCAACGTGCTTCTTAAACCTCTTTATGTTTACTTCTGCACCTGAACACGAATGCAAATACGGTTTGTCATTTTTAGTGCTTCTTTGGTATCAATTTCAAAATGGACAAATTCAAACTATTCCAGAATTGGAATCATTGCTATTCATTAGGAGGATTAGTGGTACTCCATTAATCACATCACCACAAATTTAACATTCACCCGTTATCTATAATCTGTTTCCTATCCATTAACCGAATTTTTAATCCAAAGATTACTTTAAATGTCTTCTGCCTGCAGTTTGAAAATATTTTAAAAGAAAACTGTGAATATGCCATACGATGCGTTCTGCTTGTATCCATTTGCTGTTGCAAGTTAAGCAAAACCTGGCTTTTAAAAATCTAGGCAAATAATCTACTAGAATTCTGTCACTATACAGATGATCCTCTAGTTCAGATATGATTATTGTTCCATAACCTTACATTAAATACAAGTAAGATATAGGCTTATTGGTCTGTAATTAATTTGTTTTTGGGCCTTTTTTGGGAGCTGTATTAGCAATTTCCCAGTCAGTGGGCAGTATCCGGTCATTAGGGAATAATTAATGTGTTTAACCTGTAAAGTAAAAAAGACGGCTAATGTACAATAGTGTAGGTAAAGTTTAATCTCTCAGAGATATATAGTTAACATCTCTAGTAAAATGGTAGGGTAGTACATGTATGGCAGCACTAAGGAGGAGTGGTTAGGGCTTTGGAGTCAAACGGTTGTGTCTTTAAGGACAGGGTGGTGTATTTTGGTACTGTTCCCTTGCATGTGTTCTGAGTACTTCACTCAGATTTCTTCAGGAAAATAACCAAGAAATAGGTAATACAGAATATAGTAACTGCTTACAAATGTAAACCACTTTTACACTTAGCTAAAATAATAGTAATGTGTAACTTAGATAATATTCCGTTCTATTTTAATAGAAACCTTGATATGGTACATCAAAAAGGTGCCCTAAGAGGGTGTTAGTTGGAGCTGGGGTGAAACCTGTTGATATAGCAGGTGAGCAAAAGCCACAGATTGTAATGTACTTCAAAGATTATGAATTGTAGTTTACTGAAGCTGTAGTAGAGCTGTTTGCTAACAGTTTCCCTCAGTTGTACAGTGTGCAACGGGAATGTGATCTGAATTTGTTATGTACTGTGGACAGGCCACTTTGTGAGACCGAACAGTGTGGAATGCAGTGTCCCTTCTGTATAGTCTCGTTCATGCTGGTGGAGGAATCCTGTGGAGGAGATTATAATGCATACAAGAAGAATGAACTTTAGTATTGTTGCGTACAGGCTTGCCAAATGCAGAACTCTACGTTCGTGCATAACATTACCCTTCGCTCTGGAAAATGTATGTGCCGAACATCTCATGTGCAGTTTGTGAATGTCTTTGTCTTGAAGACAGGAGTAAAAAATAAGAAAGCTACCCCTTCCTGTGCATCTACTGTACGTTTTTTAGATAAAGCACGGTCTTGCGATGATGATGTAACTGGCGCCGACAGGGGTACAGTATTTTGGAATTGAGGAATCCACGCCGAGCTGGTCGCTGCACGCACCTTTTCATACGACCGACTCCACCGCTAGACAGCACGGGTATTGATGAGTGGGTTCAATTCCGTATACTGGGGCCGTACTGCAGTTAATAAATATCCGAGTATTAACCTTAAACCCCACGGATGCATAGAGTCGAGCAAAGCTTGCTGCCCCGGGATTGTGGGTTTGGAACCAGCGCTGACTGACAGGACAGGGAAAGAACGGCTCCACCCCCCGAGAGCGGAGCGCCGCAAAACACGGGAGAGATTTCGGACCCGACGCGTTTAAAACGTAAACAAAAGCTGATTTTGTTTTTCAGACGCGAAAAACAGATTAGGGGTGTCGGGGGTCCTCCCCAGCAGAGAGGAACACATATCTTTTCAGTCCTTATCAGTCCTCACACATCTGCGGGTGTTTGACTTTTTCTAAGTCAATGTATAGTTTTAGAAAAATCAGCTTTATAAGCTGTGGTTTTACTTTACTTTTGGTGGTAAAAAACCCGAAACTATATTCTGATATTAATTACGGTACAGGTTCTAGTTCAGATTAGTTCAAAACTAACCGAACGCTTAACGTTATGGCAAATGTTATTAAATGTACTTTTAACCTATTGTAATAAATATTTGGACAGAAGCAGGCCCGTTGTGCTTGGACAGACAACCACTGGGAGGAAATATAGTTTCATACTGTATTTATTTTAATGTCTAAACATAGATTTGGGTGTCTTTTCTCAAATGCAAACCTTTCTTCTATAGTTTATGTAGGGCCTTAGTATTTAGTACTCCTTAAGTGTGGTTTACAGTCATCTTCATATGTGCTCAGGGTCCTCACTCCGAGATCCGCTTCGTGTTTTCCAGCCGCCCGCCTGGTGCGGGCTGCCTAGCTGCGAGTCCCTGTGTGCGGGAGAGGATAGCTGCCGGGGGGGGAGAGGAGATTTCTTCAACGCGCTCATTTCTCGCTGGTGGGAGCACCGTGTTTGTGTTTCTGTGCACAATCCGGGGCACATCGTTTCCATCATAATCACCATCACAATAATGGAAACAAAAGCACTTCATCACCGTTAACAGCGAGAGAGCGCCGCAGCGGGAAGTGGTCGGAGCACTCAGTTTGATGGGGATACAAGACTACGATAATATTTTTGCAGCGATCCAGTGATTCGCCCCGGAGAAGCCGAGAGAGATCAGGAGGGTCGAGACAGTTGGATTGGTGGTTTTATTTTTCTTAACACTCACCTTGTGTCTTTGCTTGCTCCACACCTCTTGGAATCTGATGTTTTTCAAAGGTCTTTCTTTTTGTGTGTGCAATGTTCGCACCGAGGCAATAGCGTTTATACAAATGTTGGCTTCGAAAACATTTGCTTGAAGGGACTCATCATTGGCACGGGCGCAATGCATTTTTACCTGGAGATAAGCACCTTTTAAACGTCTTATTGGTTGGAACCACGGAATACTGTTTGCACATTTTTTGCACATTTTCCTTATCCTACTTAGTCAAACATTCTGTAGCTATTTATCTTTACCATTCAATTTTGTTACAATTTCCACGCACTCTTATTACTAGGAACATAATGGCTGCGTGCATTCCCGGTGTTTTTGCGTGGTCCACGTTTCGGTGATCCTACGTTAATTCGAAAGGACCTTCGTTTGCATTCGTTTCTTTTGTCCCCCCCGTCACTAAAGAATGTACCTTCTGGATGGTAATTACCCCGAAAGGATGGAAAGGGGAACCCCACAAAGAAAAACGGTGTACCGGATTTCTCTCACTCTGGTGAAAAAGGAGAGTTTGTCGGAGGGAGGAGGGAGCGGGGATGGCAGCGGCTCGGCTCACCGGCGGCTCGACATCTCAAAAGCGGGCGCGTACCGGCGGGAGGGCGCCTCGGAGATCCAGCGCAGCTGCCTGCTGGAAGAGCTGGTGGAGGAGGAGGACGAGACCGACGACTTCTCCGCTCAGAACTACCTGCGAAACTTCAGGACTTTTAGCACGGGTCACCTGGAATTGGGCCGGTTAAAAATCTCCAGGAAGACGCACCACTTCCACAAGGACCTGTCTTTCAAGCTGAGGGAGGCTGGCGAAGGCAGCGGAGCCGTGCAAGCGGAGCCCCAGGCGGCCGGGTGCCCGGGGCGCCCCGTGAGCATGGTCGCCTCTCTGAACGTAGCCTTGCAGAATAAAAGAAATGTGGTGGGTTCAGTGGACAGTCCGGCCACGAAAGGGCTGAAAAGCGATATTTGCACTAGAGAGAAGGGTGAAACGGCGATAACGATAGGGAGCGAAACCACCGGGTGTGAGAAGGAGATAGTAGGTGGTATTTCTGTTCCAGAGTCGGGCGAGGGTACTGGGGTCCACAGCATCTGCCTCGCAGGCGAAACTCGGGTGCAGAGCGATTGCGGTGCCTCTCCGAGCTGCAGCGCGGCTCAGAATGAATGTTGCAGCGTCGGGTCCCTGTCCATGAGCCCTAAAACCGATGCCAAGTCAGGTGAACCGCTCCCACAGACCCCTCCGCTGAAGAGGCACCCCAGCCTGCTCCGCCGGAGCTTCAGTTTCCGGCACTGGACCGGAGGGGAGCTCCTGAGGATCAAAGCCTTAACCCGGGAGAAGCACCACAGCAGTTCCAGCTGCATCGGCCAGGGGGAAGAGGGGTCGCCGGCCGCCGTGGTGCTGCAGAACCCCGCTTTCGAAGAGTCGGGGGGCAGCGAGAAGAGGAACACGCTGGACGTGGGGGAAGTGCTGAACAAGACGGACTCCCTCACCGAGCTCAGCCGGTGGGACAGGGCGAAGGGCAAGAACAGGACCCTGGATAACAGCGACCTGCACCGGCTCGCCGAGAAGCACCTGGAGGAGAAGGAGGGTTTTCTCCGGGGCGGGGTGCGCTCCAGCGGGCAGGAGCGCCGGCTGCTTCGTTTTTTCAGTGGGATTTTCTCCAAGAAGGACGGCACGTCCACGCCTGTCACCAGCCCCAGCGGCAAGTCCTTGAGGGACAACAGCAAGAAGGGGTTTCTGAGTTCCCAGAAAAGGGCCGCTTTGGGATGCTCACAGTCCAGCACGGAGAGCGTTAATGGATCGCCACTCAAGGGTAATGCATCTTCCGTTTTTTTTTTTCTCCTATGCTCAGGTTTGAAAGCGTAAAGGAGCTGCTTAGAGGGCTTGTGTGTCTTCAGAGAGGTAGGGGGGAGGGAGCGTGGTCGAAAAGGTGCTGTTTGCTTTTGGACAGGAAGGTGGGGACTAGAGTGTTAAGCCGGTACTCTTGTATTTTTGTTTGTATTGCATTCCGTGCTGTTCAGCTCCTCAGTGCCTCGTTCACGGGAGGCCCACCCGCGGCTATATACCGAGAGCGTCAGATGCCAGGATTTGTCAGGTTGTGTGTATTTGCAGGGAGTGTTTATTTGGAAGCTCTTGTGAAAGTACCAGTAAACCTTTCAGCCTCATTTGCTTTTTAACTCACCTGGTGTCGCACCCCTCCCCCCCTTACACACACACATCATTGTAGAGACTTTCTGAACATCTCTAGTAAGACTTTTTCGCACTTAATAATCTTCCTACAAGACATAGTTTGTAGTAAATAGTATTTTGCCATTGGTTTCTGAGTCTGAAATATCTGCATGCTGATTTGTGATGAAGGCATGAAGTTGCACAAACTTGTCATTTTACTGTCTTTTGTTTACTCTCTGCATCCTCCAGAAATATTTTACAGTTTCTGCGTTATTAGTGTCAAACACTGTTGCCTCTTGCAGCCAATGGAGGAGACGAAGGACTCATGGTTGGTGTTTGGTTTCTTTCAGTCTCCTCCCCATCACCCCTTAACTCTTTGTTTCTACGTCTAATGATTTTTCTGTCGTTAATTACCTGCCTGAGCAGTGTGCACGGCCATCTGGTGTCAGCGCGCCAGTGTCTGATGAAGATCTTCCTGATACGCGTCTGTGAGGAGCCCTCTGAGCAGGCAGTACAAAGGCTTTTCCCAAATTTCTGCTGTTGGTCCTTTTGCAGTGATCTGAAGCATGGCTAATCTCCTAAACTGGATAACGGAGGTGGCGGCGTGTGTTTTCATTCAAAGCCTTTAATACTGGTGGCCGCTTTCACTTTGTTTCTGTTCCCCCTTACTTATTTTTTGACCTGTCTTTAGTTCAGCTGCGCTCTCTTTAATTCCCTGTGCTGAAGAAATGTACGTTCTGCAGAATCTGATTCTTCGCATGATTTGTGTGTTTATTGCACTGCTTCAAGAGAAAAAATGGAGAACACATTTTGTGCTTGTTCCTGTTAATTGTAGTGTTTCTGTAAATGCATTATTAACTGTCATTTTTCACCCTTAACCCTGTTTAAGTCTCAGTATACCTACAGTTGGCCTGTGACACCCCAAAAGAAAGTTGGGCTCTATGTAGCCCCACCTTCCAGCACACTCCCCTGATCTGCTCTTATTGCATACTGAGCCACCAAGACCTTGTGAATGAGATTTGAACCCACGCCCACTCAAGCAATCAAGGCCAATCACAGCACCTTTGGTCTCAGGTCAAGTGTAGTAGCTACTCTTGCTGATATTTAGATATTTAGGATCAGTGATTCCTGACAGGGTCACATTTGTAGCTGTATTTGCCGAGTGCTATGACTGTCAATCATGCAATATTATCTGTAGCTCCTTTCAAGAAATGTAAGCTTCCAGAATCACTGTCCGTGGTGTGGTAAAAAACCAAATCAGACATCAGGTCCAGAAGCCACACGTTGTGGGTCTAGCATATCTGATTTTTGTGAAGCTTTTCATCATGAATCCGTAGGAATTATTGTAATTGTAGTCCAGATGGTGCTTTCTGAATACTGAATTATTTGCTTACACTTTCATTACTATAAGCAGCTAACATTAGTCATATAACAGTGAGGAAAGCCCAGGGGTTTTTAGAAGCTATCCTTAACCACTGGGTCACTCTGCTGTCAGACCGTGTTATGTCTGTGCCATTTCCCTTCTTAATTCCAACTCTCTTTCCCTTTCACTCTTGATGGTAGGTTGTCAGGTAGTGGCACATCCAGACCGCGTCCTAGATTGAAAGCGATGCAGAACTAATGAAAATTTCACGCGTGAAATTAGGGTCTGAGTGATTAAGAGCAGCCCAGATCAGCATTTGCATTAAGGAACAACACATCAGCGCATGGATTTTTCAGCAGAATGATTCAGATCATTCAGACAGCCGTTTGAGTCGGGACCTTCTCAGTATCAGTTCTGTCCAGCATGAATGACAGCATGGCTGTCAGTCTTATGAGGTGAGAAGGAGACCCCGCAGGTCTGGTCGTAAACAGAAAAGCATGTGGAAAAAAGAATCCAGCCAGCTGGTTAATATTAATTAGCCTCAAGCCCCTTTCACAGCACAGCTTGAGGCTGTTTATCAGAACCACCAGTAGCAACTGCCCTGTCCTGTACTCGCATTGGGGCTTAGGGTATTTAAAATAAGTATTGGCGTTCCACTGTATCAGGTACCTGAAGCTGGTCCTGGAGACCCCCAGTCCAGCAGGTGTTATGGGTCGCCATTAAATCTTCAAGGTGCTGTGCATTTTAATTTTGATCAATTAAGCAGGTTAAATGTTATAATTCAGAGATCGTCTTGAATCATAGTTTCAACCCTTTTCAGTGCTCAAGGACCGGAATTTAATTTCTTATTACTTGCTTAATTAATCAATAACTTATAGGTTTTCCCAGACTTGAGTAAGAGGGGACCTTCCTCAAGACTATAACTGCACTGTGGCTCTCCAGCACCAAGGTTGTGACTGTAGTTCTTGTTAGATGGGTCCCACTCCAGCAGAGGTGTTGGATTGTGCAAAAGTCAGATCTGGTCCCAGAAGCTAGTGTCCATCGAGTACCCTGGTCCCACATCATCTTTCACCCTAAACCCTGTTTAACTCTCAGTATTCCTACAGTTGGCCTGAGACACCCCAAAAGAAAGTTGCGGCCTATGTAGCCCCACATTCCAGCACGCTCCCCTAATCTGCTCTTATCGCATACTGAGCCACCAAGACCTTGTGAATGAGATTTGAACCCACGCCCACTCAGGCAACCAAGGCCAATCACAGCACCTTTGGTCTCAGGTCAAGTGTAGTGTGACTGGGCTTTCCAGAGTGCAGGGTTTGAGGCCTGTTTGCTGGGCTGATGCGTCGTCATCATCATGGACGTGGTATGGACATCATCAGTATGGACATAGGGGGGCTGTGTAGTGCAAAATTTCAACAGTGTGGATTAGTATTGTCTTCCATTCGAAATGTAAAAATGGAATGGTGTTGATTAACTTTGTCTTCAGGGCTGCCCATCTGGGGCAGAGGAGCTTGAAAGTCGCTCCTTAACTGTGGTTTACAGGCAACGTTCCCTTCAAAATGTTTTCTCTCTTTTCAGATTTCTTCTTTGAAATAGACAAAACAGACAAAGTGTACGCAAGCGTATTAAAATGCTATGATGGCCAGATGAGATCGAATACATTTATGATAAGGGTCTTATCTTTTAGGTCAGGGTTCAGAACTGATGCCAGCAAAAAAAAAAAATGGATTAGCGCTCTCTGCCTGTTTTAACATTTGCTTTGCATGGTGCTTAATAAATGTCATATGACAGTCTAAGTGTTTCATTACTTCTGGTGTTAAATCTTAATTTACAATGAAGGTCTCCTGACTACTGACGTATATGCAAATGTCAAGGGATATATTTATATGTGTTTTGAACAGCTGTATCTATATTAATTAATTCTGTAAGTATATTCAGTTGCTAACCAAGTTTGCCATTGATTTTGGCAGCTGCTGCTCGCGTGGTGTGAAATAAGCATAGCTATCTGCATGATTCGATCAATGGATAGGTTTGATCAACAAAGTTCCGAATGCCGACTGTCAGTCAGTGAAAACAGTGTATGCAGATGTTATCTCGCGGTTAACATGTTTTAATAAAATTGTCTCCACTTTAAGTGATAGCCAGCCGGTATAACATGTATACACATTTTATAGGTGAGCGTCGGAGACAGCCATAATGAAAGAAGTGTTCAAAGTTTAAAAGCAAATGGTGACTTGTGAAATTTCCGGCCCGGCCTTGGTTTTTCAGGTGTTACTGTTCCGCAGAGGAAGAGTCAGGCAGCGTATGGGGGAAAATATGCCTTTCGTTAGTGTGCTTGATAGACCGGGCAGTGAACGTGGTGCTCTTCTTCTCCTTATTAATGCATGACGGTCTTAAGGATGTGGAGTCCATCTGCAGTGAGCGATCTCTTCTGCTCAGGGCAATGAAGTCGCTCTTCTGCGCCTCTCTTTCTCTTTCCCCCGCGCCGAACGAGCGCAGCGTGATTTGTGGGTCTGTGGTAATGGGTCCGTGGTGGCTAGTTCTGGCTGCCGAGACACTAAACAGGTGCGCCATAAAAATAACGAGGCTCGCAAAGAGCCCTCCGTCAGGGGCGTTGTTAAACTGCCATTAAAATAAATGTTGCAAAAATCAAAACAGTTGTTCAGCAAACCAATTGCACACAAAGGAACTGCCTTAAGCTCTTGCTGCCATTATTTTTAATTTGGAGAATCCCACTAATATAACTGACTGCTGTGTTACTTCCTATGCATTATTATTACATGACATTATTTGGTCACCTGCTCCATGCCTCTGAACTGTGGGACTACTGGGATGGGACTTGTGTTGTGATCCAGGTGTGGAAGCCAGCCACACGCTCAATTTCAATTTATTTGGAAAGAGTCGTCAAAGCGTGTCTCTTTCCATATACTGCATTGCCCGGCCAGAGAGGGATAACCTCCTTAATTTCCCGCATGTGATGTACTGAGACTGACGTTTTTTTATTTGTTGGATTCATGAATAACCATTGATATTGACAATGCGTGGTTTAAGAACTTCAGATTCATCGGGTTTTGAAATTGCATGGAGTTTCTTCATTATCGCTGCCTGCTCCCTAACTGATGATCAGTAATTTTCAGAGAATCATTCTGCATGTTACTGCATAAATTAAAGAAATAAGGTGAAGAAACCTTTTACTTGTCCTGTGTGGTTGAAGTGCTCTAAAGCTTTTGTGAAGGTCTTTATGGAGTGTTCATCACTTCAGAACGTGCTTGCTGGAACACTAC